CCATTCTATTATTGAGGGAATGTTACATGTATCATATTATAATAACGCATTTTCCACAAAGTTGAAAACATTGCTCGGTTCGGTCTATTCTATGTAAATCTTACAAAGATCTTACGTCTCATACTCGAGATATAATCAACAATATGATAAACAAATTCTTCTGTAGATATATAATTTGTCAAAGTCTGCGCAAAATACTAGATTGCATATTAAGCCCGTGAATTTTTCTGTAGATAACCTGATTAATATTAAAATTGCTATCAAGGAGAGGTCCCTATAGTACAGATTGGATTGGACTATTGTCTGTCACGGGCACAAAATTTGAGCTTCTAAAAAAGTGTGGTGTTTTCAACGTTGAATTTACATCCCTTCACATGCATATGCCAACTGATAATTTATTTACGGGCTTGGGAAGGAAGGAAATGAAGGATTGATGTGATTATTGTTAGTTTTCTTTTCTTTTCTTTTCTTTCTCTTTTAGTAATATTTGCTTAAATACACCATGCACTTCTTCCATCTCTTCATTTAACTTCTGAGAAAAAAAAAAAAAACATGAATAATTGACCCAGAAAAAGTATAAAAGGAGATAACTTTTGCCAAATTTGTGATAATGATAGGCTGGAATGGGCTCTGCCTTCCACTGGACTAAAATGGTATCAGAAACTTTGATTGTTTAGCCTGGCCCACATGAAAAAGTTGGGTTGGGGCCATTGCCACCCTTATTCTTTTTCTCTCTTTTTTTTTTTTTTTTTTTTTCATGAAAGTTAGGAAGGGGGTTTGAAAATGAGAGAGCACTCTAGTCTATAAGTCAATACATGTTTTCATTAGGCTATTAAACTTCGTTGTTTTAGTTGACAAAATGATATTCTAAACTACTCTTAATATATAGGAAGAGAAATCGAACTTCTCAAAAGAAGATAGGCAAACGACTTTAGCTAATTAACCTAACTCACGTATGCTTTCACACCCATAAGGATTCTATTTTCACTTTTTCAATCCCAAATGAAAAGCTACGAGCGAAGGAGCTAAACCAAGGTCATATCAATGGGTCCCGATTGAAAGGGAAACGAATTGAATCCCACTTTCTATAATTGCATTATCTTATTTTTGCTCAATAATGGGTCATAATTAATCAATTTCAGCTAAGAACCGAAATTCATAATGGTTTTTTAATCCAATTTGCTTATGTGATGTAACATGGGCGCATTTGATTTTCCTTCCATTAATGATAATCTTGTCACCAAAATGTGCTTGGGTCGTGAAAAGAATCCATGTAAGGCGTGGTAGCACATGATGCTCTTCTTAACAGTGCTTTTGTTAATTGTGCAATTAAGGGTTCCATGCACTAAATGATAGGAAGCACTGTGGGGCATGTGATCAGAGAGGGCATGTGATTGTGGGCTTGTCAAGTGTGTACATTCAAAATTATTGGGTGTTTCATTTTTAAAAGTTCCCTGCAAAAAATATTGTTTATCCTAAATCTCTCTAGTTTGAGAAATAGACCAAAAAATTAAATACGCGGGCGTCCCACTATTGGCCTCAGAAAATATTTTTTTTTACCAAATCTCCCTCTGAATTTCTGATGTTAGAGCATTTTTATCCATGGAAAAAATCTCTCCACTAATGTATTCTAGCCCGGGTAGGACGTGGGCTCCATTAAGATTGGACAAGTCTGAAGGCAAGATCAACCCAAGCTGTTGCCTAAGAGCGTTCAAGTTAGTGAAGAACAAAAAATTAAAAAAATTCTGAAAAACTACCAAAAAATTCAGAACTTTTTTTTAAAATTTTTATAAATGCCTAGCAATTTTTTATTTATTAATCTCATACATATAAATAAAATTAATCTCATGTGAATAATAATTGTCCTAGGCTTACTATGAAAATGAGTGGAAAAGCACAAAAAATTTGCTAGGACAAACACTATTAATGTGAATATCAACTATCTTTGCCTCCTCTTGCCTTTAACCATGACAAATGGGTATAAGTGCTCTTACTATGGCTGGTTTGGGACCATTATAGTTAAGGTCAATTAAGTCGAATCCATTACATTTTTCTTGCTAATAAATTATGCTAACTTCAGTTGTACACGCATCCTCACTATCTATTTTGACTGGACTGAGCAAACCCTCTATAGAAAGGTCACAGTAAGTGTAAGGGCCCAATTTTGTGTTTGACAATGGCCATTTCTGGTTTGTTCTCGGGCTTTTTCTTATCTGGGCCTGAAGATCTAGACCTTAAAAAAAATTCGAAGTCACACACAGAAACTAGAAAGATTGACTGGCGAAAAAACGAAAACAAGAAGAAAATTGCAATATACTCAAAGTTTTGATGCTTTTCCCACCCATTCACAGCTGCTTCGTCTCAATGTGACTCTCCAAAGAGAAAGTCGTGTGTAAAATGAAACTTCAATTTCCATGCCTCAAAGTCATGGCCCTGACAACAAAGCATCAACTTCGTGTATTAGGTGTGTCTGCATGAGCCAGCCTTCTGGGTAAGTTCACCATTTCCACACACGGACACGGTGCCTTTGGCCATACAAAAACCGCATTTTCAAAATCTCTCTCTTATGCTCACTATACGCGTAATAAGTTAACTGGACCCAAAGTCCTGCCCACCATACAGAAAATAGAAGAACATCCAAGAAAAGCTATCATTACTTTAATATCAACTCTCTCTCTCTCTCTCTCTCTCTCTCTCTCTCTCCAAATAAATGACAAAAAGAAAGTCTCATCCATCATCCCATCAACACAAATATAAAACCCTTTTCTTTTGAATCCTTGAGTCACCCAAGTAGCAAACATTATAATATAAACACCATCCACATCAACTTTTGGCTTCTCCAATCACACACCTTGAAAAAAAACACTTCACCCAACCAAACGCGTCCAAAGCAAAACCCTATATATTTTCACCCCCACTATGTCTCTCCAAGTCTCCATCCACCTCCCATTTTTAACCAAAACAAAAGTCATACAAAAAAAAAAAAAACAGAAACACAAAAATGATAAATCAAGAGAGACAAGCTGGAACTGCGCCCCATGGGATTCTACTGGCAGTTGTGGTTGTGGCAGTGATCGTGGTGCCGTTTTTTCTTGGTGACCAAGGCGAGGCCATAACCGAAGGCATTTCTGAGCTCTTGAGCCCTGTGGGTCTTCTTCTCTTGCCCATTATTCTTCTCCTCACCATCCAGTTTCTGTCTTCGGATCGCGGCTCCTTCGTCTCCTCCATGTTCTCAAACGGGGAGCCTGACACCATTCACAGGGTCAGCGGCTCCCCTGTTGGCGTTGCATTGTTTCTCGTGCTCATCCTCTTCCTTCTTTACAACCGGATATCGATCTTCGGCGGCGGCGACGATGAAGAGTGATGACTAGCAACATGTCAACATGGTAATTAGCATGGATCTGGCTTTGGAGGATTTTATTTATAAATTAATTATACCGTCTAGAAAGGGATACGAGTATTGGGGTACGTACTTGAGCTTTTTTTTCTTATATGAAATGAACATGGGTGGGGATGGTTTGTAATTAGAGCGAATACCAAGCTGAGGAGTGGAATTTCACGGTGATAGTTTGAGGGTATTTTGGTCATTCTGAATAGTTGAGGAGGGCTTTTGACATGTCGGTGCTCGGAGGCGCGGTGTTTTGCCCTCTTCGGCTCCCACTTTGACTACTTTGCTTTTTGTCGTTTTGTGAGCTTCGTTCCCTTTGCGACTTGCCTGCCTGCCTCCTTCACGCTTGCACGTGGACGCTCCTTTTTATTTCATCTCTTTTACTTTTTAATGCATTCTATTTCGTTTACCAAAATTGATAATGCACATAATTAACAATTTTCATTAGACTTTAATTATATATATATTTTTTAAATACAAGCGATCGGAGGAGAGGATTTTACACAAATATTTATTGGGTGTCTAGGTATTTCAAATCTCTGTCTACACGGATGGAGATAGAACTCAACTAACTGAGATATATTTATTGACTAATTATATTTAATTTAAGTACTGATGAAATGGGTAATGCAAATCTTGTGAATCTCAGATTCTGAAGAAAGTGAACTGCAACGTAACGTTTTGCTTTTTCTTCCTTTTGGAAAAAAGAAACAACTTTTGAAGACAAGGTTGGTTTGTTGAACTGAAATCTGGAATATAGTTTTTCTTTTGGGTAAATACTGAATAGGAAAAGGCGAATATGCATCTAATATATTGGCAGTGGCAGATGCAGTGGACCGACATAACATGTGGAGGAGGGTCTGCTGAAGGGAGATATTTTTGTAATTCTCCATTTTATAAGCACCACTCGTGAACGTGGGTGGGTTCAGAAATCTAAATCTGCTATTGTGAATATATTGGGGATTGTGGTGATGTGAGGAGCTTATAAAAATAAGGAAGCAATTTCATACCAACAAAGAAGATTCACAAACAGATATGAGTGAGATGCATAAATCTGTGAATTTTTTTTGAGAAAAACAATGTTTATCTTCAGATTGTATGAAGTCTAGTTTTGATCAATCAAGTAAAAGTGCTTTCAAGGAAAGTAGGCTGCCCAGGCTCATAAAACTCACGTAGGGAGGTAACTTAAAGATCTGATCAAGTTCAATGAATATGAACAATCCATGTTGTTTCCTTCAGAACTATAAATCAGTGCAGATAAGAGATTCGATATGTTCTTACTCATCACATGACAGTAGTGCCCATTTGCGTTGATGCTGTGAATGCGTCCATGGCGAGCATACGCTTGCAATATACATGTCACATGTATCCTTGGAGGACTCATCTCTCCCGACAACCGGCGTTGCTGCACGGTGAGGATTAAACTGCTCTCTAACAAGTCGCTTGAAAATCAAGATAGCACATAAATGACCAATAATGCCAACCAAGAAAAACAAAGTCTTTCCTCAGATGCTAACAACGTGCATGATTGCTCAGAGATTGGTCAAGGGCAAAGAAATACACTAAACAGTCATTAAGAAACAAAATAACAACTAATGATATGGGCTTGATGTTTAAGTTGCACATAAATATGCTTACTTTCTGAAATAAATACAACCAAATGGTAAACAGAAACTGCATGGTCTGACAAAAAGAATATAAAGAAATTTTAGTGTTTCTTCAGTGAAAAAACTCATTATCACAAACCTATTGCTCAAGTTTCATAATATTTCGTAACTAGTATTGACCTCCCAGGTAATTGCAGAAGCTGTGTACACTATTATTTCTAACCAAATAAATGCCAAACCCTCGCTACCAGCATCCTGAACAACATCTGCACACAGCTGTATGGCCAACAAGTCATGTTGAGGAAAGGCAATCCTTGGTCACTTCCAAAGAACTCGTCCCCAGCATTTGCAATATTAACCAGCTGTACTCTCAAGTCCATGCTCAACATCATAGTGGCACTAAAGCTACATCAACATCAGCCGTATAGCCTCTGCTTGATAAAAACAAAAACAAAAATAAAATACACAATATCTTCAAAATGATTAACAGCAAGACATGCAAGATCAACCAACAAAGAAACGGGCCACATGAATTCAAAACATTTTTTCTTTTTACACACTAAAACAAGAGCTCTCAAAGAGTATACCCAAACACAGAAAATAAATGGTTTAGAGGATGCATAACACATGCCAAGTAAGGATTGGTAAAGGGCCTTCACCTTTTCTTCATAATATATGACAGTTAGCAACATGAAGATGGGTAATGGTATCAGTTTTCCAGTTAAAGTAGAATCTTAATTGACTAAACTAGATAAATTCAAGATTTGAACAACAGAGAGATGCTTAGGAATAAATGTGTTTGAACGGCGGCTTGAATTGATACAGAAATGGAGACAAGTAGGAGACAAATATAACTTCCCACACTATCTTATTTGGTACACTATGGTTAAAAGGAAAACTGATTTAGGGTTTGGAACTGCGATTTAGGTCTACTCGATGAATTATGTTTCAAAGGGCTTAAATTTAGTTGCTGAAAAACATGTAGGGTGCAGTAATTTCTGGACAGCAACTCAGCTTAGGAACCGGGGATTGAATGAAGATGAAGGTGCAACCAAAAAAAAAAAAAAAGATGTTAAACTCCTGTAGAGGATCATGTGATTCACACAAGAGGTCCACATGGTAAAGGTGCTTTAAATAAGACAATCTGTTTAAGTTGATAATTCAACAAGGAGAGCAACTTATTAATTTCTTTTTTTCTTTTTTTGGGTAAAAGCCAAGATTAGGACAGTGGAAGATGATTTATAATCAAGCACACAATGAGCAGGTAAAAACCATAGATTTCTTTCTTTTCGTAACATGAAATATCATATCTTACCTTCACGCTATTCCAAGGTTATTCAACTTATCACAGTGAGGAGTAGGCAGATTCTTACTCCAGTGACGCCTTTGCAGTTCAACCCGACAGTAGTGTAGAAGCACATTCTTGTAATCCTTGATAACATGGTTCTCTATGTTAGATCGAGCAACACTTCCAAGGGGATAATTTTCATCAAATGTTTCTGATTTAACATAAAATTCCACTCCATGTTTCTCTGTTGTCTTGGGAATCTGGTAGTTGTAAGTCTTCTGCAAAGAGTAGTTAGGCTCTGAAAAGGGAAGATATGCCAGCAATACAATTACCAAGAACGGTAATAGTTGAATAAGAACCATGATATTAGGTCCCCCTCCCTGAACCTCCTCCCTCTGATGGCCAGCAGTTCTACTAGTCCTATAAACATGACTTGTCCGAAACATGTCTGATTGACCAAAGAACGCCCTAAATATCTCATCAGGGTCGAAATCATCATCAAACAAATCATGCCCAGCTCTCCTCCTCCTCCTCCTCACATTGTGTTGCTGGTTGTACTCAAATTCATCAACCAAACCAGTCTGATCATACTGCCTCCTTGAATCTCCATCACTCAAACACTTGAAAGCCTTGCTTACTATCTTAAATGCCTCTTCCGAACCGGGAGCCTTGTTCTTATCAGGATGAACTTTCAATGACAATTTCCTATAAGCCTTCCTAATGTCCTCAACTGAGCAAGTCTTTTCCACGCCAAGAATGGCATAATAGTCTTTGTTTCTCTTAATCTTCCTAATCAACTGAACATGCTCTTCGGTATAACTAACTTCCCCATTCAAACCTTGGCCCAATTTCCCCACACCAGGCTCATTCTTAATCACAGTAGCACCCTTTTCACCAATGGAAGATGCAGGAGATCCCGAATCGATCTTCTCACACGCAGCCAAAAGTTCATTAACTTGCAAACTCTGATTAAGGCGTTGCGCTATTTTGATAAATTTGAGCGCACGCCCTTTGTTACCGGAAGCAATTGCTTCTTCAGCAATGCGAACGCATCTCAAAGCTTCATCCTTGTTACCATCCATAATCAAAGACCTACCTAATAATTCAAACCCAATTCTCAAATTTCGATTACGACAAGAAATGCTAGCATGGACAAACCAATGTTCAAATTGGGCAAGTACCAAACTCAATTCCAAGCTCCAAATGGAGGTTTCAGATTTCAATTATCCCATCCGTGAATTCAATATATGCCCTAATTCAAAGGAAATGCCGATTAGATTTTGATGAATCAGTTCATGTTCATGCATGTATACATATTGTGGAAACAATCACAGAGAAGCATACCTTTTGAAATCGATCGAAGCCTCGAAACAACGCTAGCATGTATATGTGAGAGGAGAGAGAGAGAAGGGTTTGGAAATTGGACTCGGACAGAAAGCACCGGACCAACAGCAGAGGAGTGTGGTGCGTCAAAGGGCTCAAAGCACCCAGCCTAATTTTGATCACCACCATGAATGGTCATCTTCCCAATTAGATCATGCCACGTCGTTCATGGAGCAAAGACTAAAAATGGGTCTTTTTTATTTTATTTTTTAATTTCCAATTTGTTTTAGTTTTTATTTTATCTTTTTGGATCCATGACAAAAAATACCCGGACCAAACTGCCCATGACATTGGTTGTGAACAAAGAACATAGGAAAGTAACAATGAAGTGGAAGCAATTTACAAGAGGGATCAGAGAATGTTTGTTTTCTTTAATTTACAATGATTAAGCGTTAAATTACTGATTAGTTGATCTACTCTTTTTTTTTTTATATATATTTACATCGAAGTGCAAAGGAAAGACCAAACAAGTATACAAAACCAAACTTGCAGGCTTTCATTTCTTGGGTTGGTGTCTTTACTTCTCTTCATCAAAGTCAAAGTTCTGTCTTTTCCTCACAGATTCTAAGACATCAAAGGGAAGATCACTGCGACCGCTGCGTCCTCCTTGGCTTGTCTTGAGTTTAGGCATGCTTAGAGCGCTAAGGGGCGGTGACTGTAACCCTTTGTTCACTTCCTTGAGCACTGACCTTGCTGTGGCTTCAGCAGCTGCATCAGCCATTGCTGAGGCCAATTGTGTGTCACCTTGGAGTTTGCTACCAAACTTGTTTTGGGCATGTCTTACACTCTCAATCTTAGATACAACGGGCGAGTTGAAGCTAATTGTTTTCTTGCTGTTGGCAACAGCCTCAGCAGCTGTTGATTTGGCCTTTGCTGCTTCATACTTCTGCATGTCATATATGAGCTCTTTCTGGAGCTGCTTATCGGCAACCAATATATCTTCAATCTCATTCTTGTAATCCTTGAGGATGATACGGAGGCATTCCATGAGGGAGCCAATGAGGGGGCTGTTTTTGCTTTCCAATAGCCTTTTCAGCTCTATAAAGATGGGTACTGTGTTTTGGATGAGGCCCTTTTTTACTGCTTGAGTTATCCTTCCCTTAGCAGATGCTCCACCATTATCACCACCTTCTTCATCAATGTCTCCAGTGTCAGCTGATGATCCTCGGTTGGATGGAATTCGGATCTCTTTGCAGGCGAGAATTTGGAAAGCGTCCTGGTCCAGAAATTAAGAAAGCATATTTCAAATAAAACAGGCAGGTAGCAAATACAAACACATTAATATTAGTCAGGATTAAAAGGAAACTAAATTAGAAAATCTAGAAATATAGCTGCTCTTCAACTCATTAAAAGGACTGAACTGGAAGGCACACATATGTTAAAATAAGTTCTGTTGGGTATGCAAACATGTCAATACATTGAATTGCAATTATGCATATTCCACAGAAATCAGCTACCATATGCAGTAACATGCAACAAGTTTTTGAACACCATGAGGCAAATACCTTGAGAACAGACTGCCCAGTAATATCATCTATATTGAGCATACCATCAGATGCTGCAGCAAGAATCTCTGCACATAACTTTGCAAAGGTAGCCAATAAGTGCTCTGGAGCCATTTGTTTTAGCAAAGTAACATAGATCTGCATTCTTTTAGACCTTGAATTTTCATCATTGCCCCTGAGAACAACAACATAAACTATATATAAAATCTAATCCCATCTGTAAAGCTGCTTTCCTTTCAGTTCATTATAGACACACCTACCTGATGGAAAAAAGCCGGCTCTCTGCGCGTGATCCCTGAGCATTACTGTGTCCATTGTGGACATGGCAGTCATTCAGAACAAAAATTGCTTCTACAAAACTGTTATATCCTAGAAGTGGTGCCTTGACTGAAATAAAAATTAAAATTAAAATTTCATGCAGAACGATCAAATCTCAATGACAAACATATACATTAATTTCACAACTGCAAAACAAGAGAAAACCTTGAACCTTTCAGAATATTGTTAAAGAGAAAATTAGCAAGCTGCCTTATCTTCGCTGACTCATCAACAAGGGACAAAAGAAATCTAAGGAACATAACTCCTCTCCACTTCACATAGTCCCTCTGAATTTGACAATATAGTATGAAACATAGAATTAGTAATCTAACCAAATCATCAAAATGGAAATGTTAAGCCATAGGACTAACATATACCTGCAACAATCTCGAGAGAAGTATAAATGTCTGCCTCCTTACAAGTTCGCATGGATCACGGAGACATTTTGTGATCTTTGGTATATAACTGTTGACTTCAAGAAAAACTATTGAGAAACTTATAAAGCAAAACAATAATTCACCTTTAATTCTTCATAGGTAGTTTAAATGCAAAGATATTAGTCGACTCTAGTTCATTTAAGTTACAGTTTTACAGGCTTACCTATCAACTAAAGCAGTGTAGCGAACACAAAAATCTGCCATCATCACTACCAAATTGTTGCGAAGTGCTGCACTATCACTCTTTTCAAGTTCCTACAGAATCTTGTGAGATTTGAAACTCAATTACGTCTTTGGACAAAAGAAAAGGATTTAGTTAAAAGACACAGATAGTTTTGAAACTGCTGAAGCACACACACATATGATAAATATATAATTATCTAATTATATATACGTCACAATCAGTTGATAAGGGTGTAAACCTGACAGGCTACCGAAGAACAAGATTGTTAGCAAAACATTTTCTAGGTTATAGGTTCCATAGAAATCTGGAGCATCTTTGTCAAGGACACAAGTCAATAAGCTGTTTACAAAAAGCATTTAAAGCTGTATAACATAAATGATGCAAAGTCAATGACCAAACCTTCACAAACAGAGGGATATATCTCTTTGCAATTTTTCCATCTGCAAGGCAAATCTTCCCCAAAGTCAGCCATGCTTGGATGTACAAAGAAGGGGCTGTCCGATTTACAGAGCTTTTGGGCCTTGTTAATTTATCAGCTTTTGGATCAGAATTCCCAGAAGTGATGATGGTGTATAGTAGTGGAATAGCAGTGGTCATATCAGCAGATGGACAGATGATAACCAAAGACCCAATGGTGTAAGCTGCTGTGACTGCTTCTGACAATGACCTCGACATGGCCATAGCTCTCTTGCCTTTTCTAGTCCCACTTCTAGGTGGCGTAAAGAAGTCTCCTTTTCTTTTTGCATCTGAATCATCCAAAATAAACTTCTCTAAAATCTGAGAAGCTTTTGAGATAAGCTGGTGTGCCCATTTCATAACAAGGGTATCAGCCTCCTCTGAGTTTGAAGCCTTCCGCTTGCACAATGTTCTGAGTGCTTTTACATGAGCATTAACCTGTCATCAAATAAAGCAAAGCAACTAATTTTAAAAGCACATGTTAAATAATAGAGAAAATGTGGAAATAAAAACCATATGTATTAGCAAGTTGGTGCTGACTATGCATAGGTCTCTACACGTAGCTATTTTTATTGTCATATCCTCACGGCTAATTGCACATCTCCCCACACTCGTACCAAGTAAGCTCATAAAAGCAGCACTCAGTCTAAGCATAGGAAAATTCAATTATCTCAATTATTTGTTCAACATTTCCACCATATTCTTTCACTAGTGACTCCTCTGATACAAATGTAAACATAAGTAGTAGTTTACAATTCAAAAAGTGAAATGAAACTCTGATTAGAGATTATCTAATGGAAGCAATCTACTTGTTATTCACTCTTCAGATTAGTCATGCAAACAGCATGAACAGGACCAACTTTGCCTAGAGTGAAAAACGTTGTTTCTAGCTTCATAAAGAATTCAGTTCATTTAGCCGGAAATCATTCAAAAATATATATGAAACATCATGAGCATGTTCAATCTCTCTATCCAGATAAGTTGAGCTTAACACTGAGTGAGTGCTTGTGTACTTCAACCCGCAAGGCAAGCAGGCAAACTAATGTACTAACCAACGAAGTATTGAACAAATATACTGATACCAACAGATGAGTACCTCTGTTGAATGCATGTTGAAATCTTCAATTCTTTTAAGCATATTATGAGCTAAATCTGCTGCAAGTTCAGGGGGCAGCTCAACAGAAACATTAGAGATTGTCTGTAAGAGAAAAACACGATCCCCAGCCCAAGCAACAGAAGTGGAATCTATACCATCTTCCCCTTCACATGCATATCCTTGTGCAAATGGGCTTTGAATCTCCCCTCCCATGCCATACTTGTCAAAGAGCTCCCAATGATGATGGAGAAACTCCCAGTCAACTGCTTTTGCAAGGTACGCTGACACCTCTGATAGAAGAAACCAAGAGCCAGGTGGGGCTGTCCATTTCTCTATTGGCATGGATTTACTGAGCCACAGAGACTCAGATGTCCTTATGATATTCTGAAGAGAAATAGCAAATTTGTGCTTCATCAATTTCTTCTTTCCCAGGTTTGTGCAAATTTTCTTCACCCAAGGTGTCACCTCTCCATTGCAAATCTCTTTCAAAAGACTCAAAACACCTTCAGGAAACACCGAGTCAACATCCATTTCCAAACCTTTTGCTTTATTTGAATTACGAAACCTGGATTCATCATGTAGAGAACTAACAGACCCTGTAGATACCCGTTCCAATACCAGTTCTAGAAACAAGTTCTCACATTCTTCTTGAATGCTAGACTCGTTATCAGCAATTAAGCGTGGAACAGAGTGTAGCCACTCAGTAGCCACCCTTTCATCCAGGAATGTTCTGAAGGCCTACAAAGTCAATGCAGAGTTCTAACATATAAGATCAGGTATTCCACAAAAAATAAATTCATAACAGGCACAATAAGATCAGGAGAATACATACTTACTCTGACGCAGGCATTAAAATAAAGTAATTTCCACTAAGAGAAGCTTAATGAAGTGTATTTCTGATTATGCATCTCGTTAATTCTCTTTTTCTTTCAGAAATTATATATCTTGTCGAAACCATTAAAATCCCAAAGTTTAACCTACCCACTAAGAATATTACAACACTTTGATCCAAATTGTCAGCAAATGCAGATGTGCCTCTACAAAGTGTGGTTGACAGAAACGTAATTGAGAATTTTCAATGAAACATAATCAGATTTCTGAAAGTGTCTCATACAAAATAACCATAGTGAGCTAGAATTTGTGTTCCAGGTGGCCGGAAAGAAGTTAACAGGGCAACCCTTTTAGGATCAAAACCAAGATAAGTGCCCAAAAGTATACGTTGTTCAAAAATATAAATGGAATACATGGAACTTTGGAGGCTATACAAAGTATACGACCAATTAGATGCCAATGCCATACTTCCTAACATTAACTACACAAAGTATACAAACCAATCAGAAACAAAAATTATTATCTTTAACTAAAACATCAGCTCAATGAAGAAAGGTTAGATGAAGCACAACATAAAATTTACCGCTGAAAGAGCTGAAATTGCCGTTTTACGTATGCTAACAAGTGGATCAGAACAAGCCATGCCCATTGTCTTGAGCAAGCCTCCATCAAAGTCACTACCTAGAATGGCTATCAACTTGGTAATTAAAAGAAGTGCAGCCTTCCTTACACCTGCCTTCTCATCCATGCACCTTTTCATTAAAATTTCATTCATCCAACCCTTCGGCCTTTGGTCACTTGCATTGCCAAGCCCCATAACTTCTTCCAGCACAGCCTGACCCCTATCATCACCTGACAATAAGCCCACCAGCTGTGACAAGTTTGACAAAGCACGGCCTCGAACTCCAGCAACTACATCTGAACAACGTTGAATCAAAGCCTCTAAGCATTTCAGACCCAATGAATCGTTCACTTCACTTTCTGAATTCAACCCCAATGTATCTCTCAACGATGTCACTAGCACCAGAATAAGGTCAACAGCCAAGAGCCTCAAGCTAGCTTTCCCTTGAGTCATCTTCACTACATAACCCACAAACCCCATTTGGTCCTCAAATTCCAAAAATCTAACAATCTCCATGATAGACTCTACAGCCAAAGCCCGAGGCTCAGACTTCTCCGGTGCCTTTTGAACCAAGTACCTCGGAAAATTCACCACTGCTTTCCTGACACCATCAAGCGTCTTGGCCGCACTCATCATTCGATTCGTCACGAACCCCAATGCAAATGCCCGCACTTGAGATTTATGCTGAAGAATCATCGGAGACAATGACTTCAACACCTCGGCTGCAATGTTAGCTTGGTCCTCATGCTCAGGTATGAATACTTTAAGCAAAATCTGCGAGCACAGATCTGTTAGTCTGCTATAACTGCCTGAATTACCGCATACTTCAAGCGCCATCACTGGAATTTCAGCCACAGTTTGAACCAAAGACTTCAAACTATCCGGAAAGCGGTCCAAATGAATCAACCCCATTACAAGTTCCAACCTTTCAAGAACAGTAAACAAGACCCTCACATCAAAGTCACTCTCTTCCCCATCACAATCTTCATCGTGAGAACTCTGGGCACAATTCTTCAAACCCCGATTTCTGATGCGGCCCTTTCTCTTCTTATTAGCGGCAACGTGGGACCCATGGCTGGATTCACCTGAAGGACGATGCTTGAGGGACCGGCGAATGGACTGGAGGAGAGAGAGAAAGTCCATGGGGTTGAAGAGAGTGCAGACAGGGGAATTGGGTGAGAGGAGAAGAGAGAGGTAGACTTTGGAGGCTGAAAGGGCGAGATGGGTACGGCCCAAATCCATGGCGGAGGCGATCGGACGGACGAGATTGGACAAAGAGAGGGACTTGGAGGAGAGCTCGTCGTGGAGGTGGTCCATGAGTTCAGGGTCATCGTCGGCGAGGGCGCTGTCTAAGAGGGTTTGAAGGTCTGAGAGGGTGGAATCGGAGATGGGTAGGGTTTGGCGGTCTGATGGGTTTTCAGAGTGGCGGAGTTCTTCGAGCTCTATGACTATTCGGGTTATGGCTTCCTCCATGGCTATTTGGTTTGAGGTCACTCCCACTGGGAAAATTGATGGCTGCAGGAGGTCCCTTCTCTCTCTGGTTGCCCCTGATTTTCAAATTTTGGGTTTCCCGCTTCTTTTTTCTTCTTCTTCTTTTTTTTTTTTTTTTGTGGAAGAAAATGCCGAGTTTTCAGACGAAAAAAACAAAAAACAAAAATAAAAGTAACGCTATTATGTATTTTAATTTCTGATTTATTTGTCAATTAATTACCAAAACTTGAATTATTAATAAAGTTGAGTAGAAAATGAGATGACTTGTGAAATAAGTATAGCCAAATTAAGTGCGAAGGGAGATGACGAATATGGTGGCAGGGATCCCAATCCTTAGCATTTAGTTTCTGTGCATTTATTCGCATTTTGGTAAATCTAAACCGCTCAACCAATCTAACGACTTAACACACGATATATCATTAAACTTTTAAAACATTTTTTTTTATTTCCAAAAGTGATGTTAACCCTACCTTAACAGCTTTAGAGCATCTACAATGATGCTCTCTATTTCTTAGCTAAAATTTGGCTAAGAATATAATAAAGCTATTTTAGGAGCTCTCTAAAAAAATTTAACTCAAACCATATTCCCTAATTTGGAGAGTCATAAATGTTATAACTCTTTTTTGATTGGTCCATCTCTGTTAAAAAATAAAATAAAAAATAGTTAACATTAAATACAGGTTTGAAATACTCATTAAATAAAGCAGCATTAAATTATAGAGAGCCACTATGAGTCATTTCTCTCTCCTTAGAGCATCCACAATGATGCTCTCTATTTCTTGGCTAAAATTTGAATAAGAATATAAGAAAGCTATTTTAGAAGCTCTCTAAAAAAATTTAACTCCAACCATACTCCCTAATTTGGAGAGTCATAAATGCTATAACTCTTTTTTGATTGGTCCATCTATATTAAAAAATAAAATAAAAAAAAGTTAACATTAAATACAGGTTTGAAATACTCATTAAATAAAACAGCATTAAATTATAGGGAGCACTAGGAGTCCTTTCTCTCTCCTTAGATTTAGGAGCTCCTAGAGGACTCCCTATTTTAGGAGGTGAATAGAGAGCGTGATTGGAGTTGCATTTTTACGATTCCTCCCTAAAATTTATCTAAAGAGGTGGTTTAGGGAGCCCATTGTGGATGCTCTTAGATTTAGGAGCTCCTAGAGGACTCCTTATTTTAGGAGGTGAATAGGAAGCGTGGTTGGAGTTGCATTTTTACGATTCCTCCCTAAAATTTGTCTAAGGAGGTGGTTTAGAGAGCCCATTGTGGATGCTCTTAATGTTAGACTAAACCTTTCTTCTTCTTTTTTCCTCTCAATCGCGAGCGTCCTTGTTCCTGGATTTTTTTCTCTCTTGAAAGCAAGCATTTATTTTTTTTCTTCTTCAACTTCTGTCTTCATGGGTTGGGAGTTTTGTACCTCTGATGAAGATAGGGTTAACATAAAGACAGAAGTTGAAGAAGAAAAAAATATATATGGTTGCTTGCGAGAGAGAAGAAAACCAGGAACAAAGACGCTTCCCGCTCCTGATTCCGAAGGGAAAAAGAAAAGAAAAAACGCTCGCGTTAGTTTAGTCTAACCTTAACGCTGTTAAGATAGGGTTAACAAGTTTAATGACATATTGTATGTTAAGTAGTTAGATTGGTTGAGATTTTTAGATTTACCGAAACGCAAGTAAATGCATAGGCTCAGGATCCGGTTGGCAGTGTGTCTCATAAGAAAAATGTAATTGAAGCTTTGGGGTTCAAGATTTTGAAAGATGTAATGTCTAAAACACACACTATTTGGAACTCTAAAATTGAGTTAAAATAGTTTATGGTGGAGGATGCTCCTAATAAAGTAGCCATATTGAGTTGCACTTGAAAAGTTGTTACTGATTCAAGATCTAGATCCCTTTATCCATGTGGTTTTAATCCTGACAACTTAACCCATGTAGTTTGATATCATTGCAAATTGCAATTCAAGGAGACGTTCAAATTTCATTCGAAGCTTTATCCGGTTCTACCCCCAGACTGATTCTGTTGAGTCAACATGCTCGGTATCCTTAAGTGAGTTGGGTAAAGCAAACTCCCTGCTTGGATGAGCACCAGGGAACAGTAGAATTATCACTACCGCTGGCAGTCCAGAATCCAGTCCAGATGTTGATTGACCTAGCCGTGCATTTCCAAGTGTCATTGAATTGCAAGAGATTTAAAACTACATAGACGAAATTGAAACTAACGGGACCAAGTGGTAAACAAACAAACTACATAGACCAAAAATGACTTTACACCTGAAAACAAAACTAAAAAACCCCAGATTCAATAACACATATTAGTTATTGGATTTTCAATGACTTACCCATCTAATCAGCTCCAATGCCAACACCGACTTGTATAGAATCAAAGTCGAACTTGACTTTGGTCGTTTGGATGTGGCAGTAAGTGCTCCACAGTACATCACATTGGCAAGGATGTGAAAGTTAAAAAAAATAGTTTGCACAAAGCAAATTTTTTTTCTTTCGTTGGTTGCATAAAACAAATTTAGTCCATACCATATGGCATCAACTAACCAGCCATACATTTCTAGGCCTGAAACTAACACCTTCATAGCCTCAAGTTTTGCAGTTATGGTTTCTCATCCTCGAAGTTTATGCTTTTCATAGGAAGAACATTTTGCACCTGCGGTAATAATTATTCAAGGCTAGCAACTTAGCTTTTTTTTGCCTTTCACGGACATTTCAGTTCAGCCTGCTATCAAGCTTACTCATTAATGTCCGGGAGCAGTGAACCAGTGTCTTCAGGAAATAGTTGGAGAGGTTCGACCGCATTTCTTTCCTGGACATGGTGATGACTGTGAGTTGCTGCTTCTGACAGGTTATAGTTGAGGTTCACAGACCATGAAAAGGAGTTCCCAGTCTGTTCAACTAGCGAAGGTGCTGTGTACTCTGCTGGAAACCAGCCCCTCAATCCATTTGATATTCTCATGTAAGCGTCCGCAGCAGATGAAGAGGAATTGGTTGGTGTCTGCTGCATCCTTCGTAAGTTGGAATAAACTGGATCATTGCTTCCTTGATAACCCAAACCAAATGGAGATTCAGTAGCAGTTTGAACACACATCCTACAAGGAAAAGGTGCATGTAAGATATTTAAGTCGCAGTGTAAAATAGGCAAGGCTAAGAAAAATGAGGGACAATGAACACAATGCAGGTTCAGAGTGACTTGGGATATTTCAATAATATGATGTATCCCTCATGAGCCATGACATTATTCCAGCATAACCAAGCCTGGCCCATCGATTTTTCTCAGGTTTATTTCAAGTAATAAATGTTATCTATGAAGCTAAAAGCACATGCCATTACTCTCATATTTATAAAAGCGTTCATATTAGATGTGATTAGGTGACCTTGGTCGAAATCCGCATTGTCAGTTCAATTAACTCAAGTACGGATAATGAGCGTTGAGTTTATCAAAAGCTTACCCACGCTCAACGATTCGAGGAACAAATGGTTCATTTGGCATAGCATGAAAATCAAGCCCAGCACTCAAGGTTGCAGATCTCACTGAAGCCCAATTAGCACCACTGCTATGGTCACCCCTTGAAAACGAATTGATACAGGTATCACATATGAAAGGATCACATCTCCAGTTAACCCGGGAAGCAAATACCCCACTGTGTACAGGAGGGCCATTCAATTGATGACTGGTATTAGGATTACCAGCAAAGACGGCATAGGGGTCAACGAAATTCTCATCTGCATCTTCAATATGTGGTTCTAAGTCTGTTGTTAAACAAGTTTTCTATTAACTGGTTATTTAAATTTAAGGTGGGAGCAGAAGAAAATGAACTTACAGCCAGGTGACGGTAACCTTGTTTCCCTGCAAGTTTCAAAACATCCATACGTAAAACAAAGACCCAAAAAAGCACAAACCATAACATCTTTAGTAATTATTATCTCCAATCTCAATAAACTGTCGGGAAATAGAGGTGAATTTCATGGTTCTTGAAAACCTAGGACAATTAAACTTTCTGCATACACTATAGGTTTCCTTTCAATTTTTTTATTTTATTTTTTCATTCAAAGATGAACACAGAAATCATCTCTCTTTACGGTCCTAAACCTTGGACCCAAACCTCTAGAATACAATCAGAATCTAAGCAATCTGATTATTTCTATTTTCAGATAACAGCTACTAAATAATCTGCACTAAAAAGCAACAAATATGGTATTTCGGCCAGATGTTAAAAATCACTTAAAAAAACATTACATTTACATTGAATTTATTTATCTGGGTTATTCATTTTTCCGTAAGTTTGGGATATATGTTTCTGCATGAAAGACTCAGCAACTAAACACACGAGAGGAGAAATTTGGCCTCTTGACTAGAAATAATCAAGGACATTAGATAGAGGTATCCTTAAGCTTCAAACTTACTTTTGGTATGGGTATTTAGAAGACTCATAAACAATATCAATTGGCAAAATAAAAACGAGGACTCATGCAGCAAGCAATGGCCAATATGGGATTGGGGGACCAAAGGAAGATGGAACTGAGAATAATTTGGATGAAGGAAGCCTCTTCAATAATTCCAATAATCCCATTCTTTAGAGATGGCCCTTCTCAAGTTCTAACATAGAATCCCCTTGTTTACAATAGACTCGCTTCTAGACATTTCAATGCAACTGCTACCTAGGCAAACTTGTAATTCCATTATAGTAGTTCATCAATAGCATACCCCCACCAAGTAAACAGCATTACCATAGCATAAGGATAACCACACAAGCAACACAAAAATTCATTTTAGATGGGATATATCAGCATCTCAAAAGGAAACAACCTACTAGATGAACACATAAACAACACGCATTAACATAGTACAATTTAACATCTAGAGTTGAAGTTTTTATAGTTAACTAAAAACACAACTTTCACATGCCACTGATAGCCCAAAACTATTCTAGGCTTAACAATTCCCAGTAATTAATGTTTAAGATCAATAAATATTCAAGTGATATTGAAGATAGTATAATGGCAAATTTTAACACAAAAATGAAGCAGAAGGAAAGTAAAGACCTTGCACAGGAGAAAAATGCTTACCAAATATAGTGACGTACAAAAGTTCCATTTCCCTGAAACATCCACAAATGTATTTACAAATTAAGACGAACGACTTAGAGAACTGATGATCATGTCAAGTGATGTACTTATACATGTATATTCATATATAATATGACAATGAATCATGGAAAAAAAAAACATTGAACATCTAGGTATGGCTATAAAACCATGAAAACATGTTGCAAAGATTTTATTCCATGTGTGTGTTATGATGAAAAATACAAATTGCTTAGTGAAGTAAAAGAACAAAGTAAGCTAAAATTCTGTATATGAGGTAGAACCAGTCACACATTTGTTGATATTTCGATGCCAAATCAAAAATTGATAGCATAAAATGACATTTTAAGTGTCTTCAGTTGGTTTTACAAATAATTTCCTTAACCAGTTCTGCTAACTCAATGCACCCACTAAAGCAAGTCAAAATGAGCGAGAAAAATGAGTGTTCGCAGCCTTGAGGAAATTATAAATTGGTACAAAAGTACTTAAATTTATAAGTAGTCTTTGCTTTTACCATGTCAATGAAATCCACAAGCTCCTCATCCATCCCCTCATATAAGTCAGGCTCAGGGCTACCATTCTCAAAACACCTCCATACACCATTCTCAATCTCACGGCAATTCGGGCATTCCATGACACCTTTTACATTGAATGCAGAACCGATGCAATCTGAAGAAAAAGGAAAGCACATGACATCAGAAAAAATAACAAAATTCCACGAACAAACAAAATTAAGTAAATATTTCATGATTTAGGAGGTTAATTTTTTTTCAGCAGCCAAAAGGTGTAAGGTGAAAATCTACCAAACCTAGGAAATGTGACCCTCTACTATCATTCATAAATGCCTTTCTTTTTGTGACTTTATATCATACCGTAATTCTCGCAAGGCGTGTATTAGCACCTAGGAGGTAAGCATAATCCAAGACACAAGTCAATGTTTAGACCAAAAGTCATTTTGAACTTCATTAGGATTTAGGAGTTTCCATAGCTCACCCATAAAAGCTAATATGCCTTCGTAAATGTACATGTAAACACACACACACACCCCATGTTAGACATGTCTACAAATGATAAATCCAATAAATCCTACTTTCAAAATAGCCAATTCGTCGAACAGCTTAGGCACATAGAGTCACAAAACAAATTTTACGCAACCCAATTCGTTTTCCTGATCCAAAGTCAAACAGTACAGAGTTTTTTTTTTTTTTTTTCATGAATTACAGGACACTGACTATTGAGCTCATAGTTCCAATACACACACCAGCATACCTTCATCAAATACCCGAAAAAGAAAATCGTAACAGCAATTAAAACACTAATGACATCAACAACAATAATAACAGTGACAGTCATTTCTATGGTACCCTGTAATAATCATTAACAATAATTTTGACAAAAAAAATTATACACATATATCATTTAGTAAAGAAAGAACAGAAAATAAAAGAAAAAGATCTAAAAGTTGGCGAAGTCTATGTGATTTACTCACCGAGATGAAACGAGTGAGAGCAGCGAAGCCTGACGACAGTACGGCCACAGTCATCGGAGACGTCGTCCATGCAGATGGAGCACTTGACAGTCGAGGAAGACGAAGCGGGCGACGTCGCGTTGTCCATTTGCGCCCGAGCAAAGAAAACCCCCACAGCGACTGAAAGTGTGTGAGAAGAAGAGCAGAGCAGAGGATGAAAAAGAAGAAGCAAAGAAATGGGCGCAGTGGCACAGACATTTATACAGCCAGAGAATCATTGCTCCTCAGGAAGAACCAAACGGGTTGTCACCCGCGTCTATATATGGTAACTTGTCAATGGGAGTAGCAAGTATATCTATTTCAAATCCGGAGATTGGGTTCCCCTGCGGTCGAGTCCATGGGAAGTGATCGCATTGGCTACTGTGTGGCAAACGCGTGATGCTGTTTGATGATTGGGTTGTCTATGCTTGGTTTTATTTATTGAAAAGAGAACAAATAATAAACAAAATACACATGGCAAAGTTCATTAATTGACATGGTATGACACATCAGTTGTCACATAAAGTAATCAGATACGATGGTCAAGGTTGTGTCTAAATAGCATTACTCTTAAATTATTAATAAGTATTCTTTGTTATGACAGCTGATGTCAGTGTGTCGTTACTTGAACATTCTACAAGCTTTATACATATCCTCGTGAAATTGGTGTGAAGGCCAGGGCTATCTGATGTAATTTCCTTGTTTGTCTGGGGCATTTCGTTAGCCAAAAAGAAAATGAAATTGGTTGTGAGGAAACATTTTCTCACTTGAGCTTTCGTGTGGTGGGTCAATAGTTCTTATTCAATGAGGAACTTTCAAATACACAAAAGTGTAATTTAGCATGGCACAACTCAGTATGTTGGAACCAATCTCACAGTGTAATTTCATGAAGTTAAGAGATCCATTGTTCTTTTGTTGTTTCTCATTTAAGATTGGGTTTCAAGTGGTTATGAAAAAAGCCTATAAAAAAAAAAAATTCAAATATATTCAAGCATACACCAACCCAAAATCAAACCAAATCAATTATAAACCCAATTTCTAAACCCAATTAAGAAAAGTAGAATTGGACCGACCAGACTACCCAAAAAACCTGGTTTTACTATTTTACTAGGACTTGGAACCAAAAACTTGATTTTACAGTTTTATTAGAAAGGGCATAACAGGAATTCAAGAGAAAAGACAAGTCCTTTCCCGTAATTTTTGAGTTGCGTAGCATATTCGTGTTCTCGGCCAAACCCTCGCCTATAAATTCCAGTTGACGAAGGCTCTTGAAACCCTCTCTTGCTCTCTAGTTGCTGCGTCGCTCTCTCCTCTCAAATCCCTAGTATATCTTGTTGGGGCGATCCGAGAGAAAGACTCTGCTGCAAACATGTTGGTTTACCAAGACCTCCTTACCGGTAATTTCCCCCTCTCTGTCTTGAATTAGGGTTTTAGTTGTGTTCAGTATTAGTTTTCAGGGATGATACGAAATTAGATCTCTGTTAAATCTCCAAATTTTAGGTTAGGCTAGGGATCTGATTTTGTTCACTGGCGCCCAATTTTCACTACTGCCGTATTTGTCTTCTTGTTTCACAAATTTCTTGATCTATAGCTGCTGTATTTATTTTGTGTTGATTATGTGCAAGTTTTTTTTATGTAATCAGCTACTGGGCTGCATGTTGTGTATATTTTGTCAAGCCACTGAATTGTTCTGTTCAACTGATTAAAAAAAACCTAATTTGTTGTTTTAATCAGTATTTCAATGGTTTTCGAACTATTTTTTGTAGTTTTGTTGCCATATGCATGTGGTTGGTGGAAGATGTTTGGATTGAATATGGCTTTGTCATCGTGACGCAACTCTAAAACTTTGATGGGTTAACTAAGTACTTTAACTTAGATACTTTTATAAGTTTGTTTGTGATGTTCTTCTTGTTCGATCAGATTTTTTTTATTGACCTCATATATATATATATATATATATCGAAGCTCTCGTTTCAAGTTGTTGACCAATTTTAGTGTATTCATACTAGGTGATGAGCTTCTCTCGGACTCGTTTCCATACAAGGAAGTCCATAATGGAGTGTTGTGGGAAGTTGATGGAAAGGTAGGTTCATCAATTTTGAACTTAACAAGTTTAACAGATGGTTCTCGCAATGATTTTAATTTATTTGCATAACTCAAATTTTCAAGTAGAAAATAAAGTCGGATGATGTATTTAATGTGTGGGTATCAAGGTGGTTGTATTGAGCTCTGCTGTTTTATGTTAACTTCTACTGTTGCACAGTTGATTAAATGTAAGTTTGTATGATTTTTGTCGCCAGTGGGTTGTGCAAGGAGCAGTTGATGTAGACATTGGTGCAAATCCCTCTGCTGAAGGTGGTGGGGAAGATGAGGGTGTTGATGATCAAACCGTGAAGGTGGTTGACATCGTTGACACATTTAGGCTTCAGGTATGTAGTGCCCACTGTTCTGTTGGCCTCCAAACTTTGTCTCGGGTAGAAATTGATTGTTATTGCCTGATGCTTGCAGGAGCAACCTCCTTTCGACAAGAAGCAGTTTGTCACATGGGTGAAGAGGTACATCAAACTGTTGACACCCAAGCTGGAGGGGGAGAAACAAGAGGAATTCAAGAAGAACATTGAGGGAGCAACCAAGTTTCTGCTTTCGAAGCTTAGTGACCTCCAATTGTAAGTTTTGTTGGCCCCTTTAGTGATTTACCATGTTAGTCACCCCGTCGGTAGAATACTTTGGCACTTGCTATCATTGTGGAATTTTTACTCGAAAAAAGATACAAGCATTGAATCGCATGTTCTTTTGCAGCTTTGTTGGGGAGAGCATGCATGATGATGGCGGTTTGGTGTTTGCCTACTACAAGGAGGGTGCCACTGACCCAACATTTATCTACTTTGCTCATGGTTTGAGGGAGGTCAAGTGCTAAGTTTGGCACAGCTGGCTTCAAGCAGAATGCTTGTTGTAATCCTAGTCTATATTGTTGCTCTTTTTTTTTCCTTCTCTAAATTGGGGAATCAGGAGTTGTTTTCTTTAGAATGTTTTGCGTTTGGTGACTCGAGGCTTTATGCCTCCTATCTCGGTTTTTAATGGTATTTTCGAATTTCGACTTGGATTTCTAATTTATTTGGCTCTATGTTTTGATTGAGAAATAAGAATAATATTGTATTCTAGATGTTAGCAGCTCCAAATCTTCGTTCTTATCTATGCACACATCTGTATGTTATATCGTCTATATGTTATATATAATTCATAAATCTAGCCGTTAAAAAAAAAATCATGGTTCATTCATTACCGGGACAAACGCAAATGGGGTGGAACTGTAGAAGCTTGTGCACCTCTACAGAGCTTTGGTACTTGACCTTGGCTAGTTGAATTATCAGTATAACAACTTCGTAACACTCTCTCTCTTGTAGTTTAATCCTCTCTTGTAGTTTAAGTGATTGAGAAATAAGTTTGCAGTTTAAGTGATTAAGAAATAAGTTTGCGTACAAGTGATTAAGAAATAAGTTTGTGTTCAACCGAAAAAAGAAATGGGTTTGCGACTTAAGCGGTTAGTGATTAAGAAATAAGTTTGTGTTCAACCGAAAAAAGAAATGGGTTTGCGACTTAAGCGGTTAAGAGGGGATACTGATCAATTTTTCAAAATTGTGAGATAATTATTGTGAAGTTAAAGGAGGTATGATGTCGTTATTTTTGCCAAGAGTAAGATGATTGGGGAAGAAAATCACATTATACAATCCACTAGATGGCTACGAAGTGCAATTCATTCATTCCATTACCCTGAAAATTTATTTTTTGTTTTGTTGTCAAATAAATAATAACTTGCTCAAACAAAGAAAAAAAATTCCCAAATGATATTGGCCCTCCTATTCATAGACCCACAATGCATAATTTTTATTGAAACGCTTGATGGAAGGCTCAGGGCTTTGTGGGTTTCTTCACAATCATGACGGAGCATTTAACATGATGAGCACAGTAGTCGCTTACACTTCCAAGAACTGCCCTGCAAGAGAATCGAATTTTGTGTCACATATTAGAAGAGCCTGGAGGAAGAATAAATAAATAAAAAGAACTCTGGATTTGCAAAGTTCAAACATGTACCTCTTTACAAGTCCATAACCATGACTGCCAACAACCAAAAGGGAGGCGTGGTGTTTATCAACAGCGTCACACATAACATTTCTGGGATCACCTTCCATTACTTCCACTTCTACATCTTCCACCTGCACTGTCGCTAATTAACCGTATTCGCTTGATAAATTGCATTAATTAGCTGACCACATAATATGCAGAATGATGCGTGAATTACAAAAAAAAAAAGGCGGAATTTGGAAAAATAGCCTAGTGAGTGTTCATTATAACGTTGCAGACATCACTTATAGGATTTTGTACTTGCCTTTTTGCTGGTGCAAACATCCTTAGCTTTCTGCACGGTCTTACAAGTGGATTTCTTCATATCCGCCTCCAAAGAAGTCATAAAGTCCACAGAACCTGCATTTTACAATAAAATGAATTAACCATGCAATTAATGAAGCAGATAATGAGATTGGTTTAGTTAATTACCAAATCCGGCGACGCCGAGGGCAGAAGAGGCAGAATTCCTAGCATGAATGACGATGAGCTTGAAAGGGTGGTTGGTGCCGTGAGCAAAGAAATGGTCCAACGTCCACTCCAATGCATAAAAGCTATGCTCACTGTCGTCCACTGCAACTAGCATCAGCGGCTTCCCCTTGTTCTCACTACCTTCCGCCATTATCTTAATTAATCGCTAATTAATCCAAGTTAATCACTAATTATCAACAAAAACAACAAGAAGATCCAAATTAATTAGTTCAGTGTGGGATTAATTTAGTTGGAAAGTGTGCTTGTGGGTGGTGACGACTGTATAGGATAGGATAGTAGCTTGCTGTTGCTGAATATGGCGATCCTATGTGTATACATATATATATGCCTAAATTGTTGGTAACTGCATCGAGGTCGTTACGCCCCTCGACTCGGTTTCTAACTGTCCGTGAATCAATGGCCTTGAGATGGCGGGAGTTTCTGTGAGGTCCAATTCATGGCTCATATCAAAGCGGAGTGTTGGGCCAAGTATGATCCCCCTTTAGGGGCCTCCAAAACTAAGACATCTCATATTCTGTTTCAAATAGGTCGGAATCGAACCGAATCAAACGAAATAAATTAGTTACAATTTGGTCTGATTTGGCATAGTATTACACTTTTGAGTGTACAAATTGGATTA